ATATTATATATATATTATAATATATACCCTCTGCTGATATTTACACGCAGGTTTTAAGCGGTCAAGTTTCTAATGTGTTTTTCTTTAGTGTCGGGGTGTCTTTCCTGCTGTTAAAGCGGACTACGGTCACGAATTATTCCATTTTGTAAAATTTGTAAAAAAAATTGCCATTTTGTCTTACATTAAAGTAAGAGACTAACGATTACTAAATATATCCTCAACACTCTCACCGGATAAAAATGTTTTTACGTTGGTTAAATTTGCTGCAAAATCTAGACGATTTTGGTAATTTCTGTTGTCTAGACACTATTCCCAGGTACTGTTCAGTATACTGGCCGTCTCTCTGGTTTTTCACCGGCAAATTAGGGGCATATAAAGAAGGTATATAAGCTATGAAAAGTAAACAGAAACACTAATTGTATTTTCCATTACATTTTAGTTTTGTACAAATAAGACGCACAAATATACTCTTGCATGGTGCTAGAAATTCGTGACGTAATGCACTTAATTCTATACCTGTCGTTATTCAAATCCGCACATGAAGGGCAAGCAATAAGGCTACCATACTTGGCAATATGTACAGCCCAATTCTTGTGTTTCACGTGTTCCACGTTGTGAGGCACACCATTACACTACATGATACGGATTGTGAACTTTTTGGTTGTGGAATTTTCCACCATCAGATGTAGCTCTAGTACTATAGCCCTATGTTGCCACAGGGGCCTGTGGCCTTGGAACTGGCTGCCAAACAAGGGCTATGAGTACTAGAGCTACGTCAGGGGGTGATGTCCTGTATAGCTATGACATTACTATAGCTAGGCCATTACTATAGCTATGGCATTACTAGAGCTATGGCATTACTATAGCTATGGCATTACTATAGCTATGCCATTACTATAGCTATGGCATTACTATAGCTATGGCATTACTATAGCTATGGCATTACTATAGCTATGGCATTACTATAGCTATGGCATTACTATAGCTATGCCATTACTATGGCTATGGCATTACTATAGCTATGGCATTACTATGGCTATGCCATTACTATAGCTATGCCATTACTATAGCTGTGACATCACTGTAGTTATGACATCACTATAGCTACTGCATCACTCTTGCCATTACAGTAATGGTAGCTAAGGAGCTATATTAAAAACATATCTGTGTGTCTAGATAGACCTCCACGATGCCAGCTAGCGACACCAGTGTTTGCCGACTATATAGAAATAGACAGTAAACCTTTATTACCGTAAGTAAAAGGTTAAAGCTTACTATCCATAGTTTGTTTACTGTTTATTTCCATAGTCCCGACCATGAGATCGTCACGGTATATGTGGTGGGTATGTGGTCGATCGATATGTACAAAGAACCACTGGGCGTTTCTCATACAGACAGAGCACTAAGACTCTTGTCTCCTTGTGGTCATGGGTGTCAGTTCCAGGGATTTGAGTTTCCTATCTCTCTCTACTCCCTCCGTTACCTCTACTTTTCTTCCCCGCCATCTTCTGTAACATCTTTATTTATCTAACGACGTTTAAAACTCGCTTGTATAAGTAGAAAGGTATTTAAATAGAACCAAAACGTATAAGTTATATAATGTCGGTTGAGTGGAGGTGTGAAACTATTTGCCATATCTTTTTGTTAGCTGCCTGCAGGAAGCGTTATTAGTGATGTGATTCAGCCGTTTAGCTTGTCTAATGAGAGTTAGAATGTGAGGATATTATTTAAGAGCTTCGTTTGGTGAAGAGCTAGGTATAAAGGTGCAAATAAACGAGACACTTGTAAATGTCTATGTAGTGTACTATAGTTAGCAATATTACACACCAGTGATTTGTTATTTTTGCTTCGGTTCGTGTTCAGATATTGTCGGGTACATAATTTATTCAATGATGACAGAATCATCAATACACGCGTAGAAAGCAAGCAATATTATTCATGAATGCGCTAATGCAATACCCGTACAACTCGCAGTGTTCTGGAAACCCAATTTCTATGCTGTGCTGTTACTAAGACGTAACAACACCTTTTTTTACGGAGGAAAGAAAGATTTTACGAAACCCACCTGTGCGACTTTTTTCACAGTTTGCCAACTATTTCCAAGTCTGCCAACAAATTATTTAAAATATATACGATCAATTCCATACTAAGAAACTTAGAATTAGTCACCCAGTGATTCAATTGATTAAATCTGTGCATAGTTTTAATATAATATTAAAACTCTGCGCATTATATATAGTTCTTGGTTTTATTGCTTTTCTGAGTGTTGGGCTAAGGCTGCTGTGTAATGGCAAGTGAATGGTAACTGACTTGTATTCACAGAGTATTCAACCACAGTATGTACAGTGTGTTTATATGGGAACTACACATCTGTTGTCATTCACCTTGACAGTGTCACCACGTTGCTATGAGTTTGGACTTTCATATTGATTCTTTCACAATTAAAATATGATCGCTAGTTATTGTCTTAGTTAATTATTACATCTTCTGAGCATTATTTATTACTACTGGCACAAGATACAAATCAGTGACATAATATCCAGATTTCACATTCAGAAACCATGTACATCACTCTTAAAATAGAAAACTAAACCAAATTTGCCTACCTAATACACAGAACAAAACAACCTAATCCACGTTATCCTAAAGCAAATTTTTCATCTAAAGTTAACTTAGAAAGCGAGAGAACACCACGGATGGTTGAATGTAACATGAACCATAATGGACGCTCGTCGTCACAGAATCTTACATGTTAAGCCACGCACACGCACACACACACGCACAGTCGCACACGCACACACACACGCACAGTCGCACACGCACACGCACACGCACACGCACACGCACACGCACACCCACACCACACACACTCGCTCAATATTTTTACTATAACATATCAAGAGCGTAGAAGGCATATTTTCTTCTTTATACGCTCTTGAACATATATTATTTTAAAACATTTCACAGTAAATTAGTTTAACATTAGGACCCAGTCGTATGGACATTATTTCGCACACGCACGCACGCACGCACGCACGCACGCACGCACACACAGATGCTTAGATATCGCAGAGACCTTATAGCGACCGTGTCAGACGTAGTCATGGCAACGGATGAAAGTTCAAGTTATCCCTGAGGCTTACTCAAGCAGGAACGTGGTAGATTCCTCACACAGACCACGCCGCGGCTACACCAACGCCAGATTTCACACCATGCCTCTATGCAGAGATGCCAACACATATTTGAAGCAATCTGTAGTTTCTGGCCATCAAATTAGTAGTTCGAGGGTCACGTAGTGACCCGAGTTTGCTAGGGCAGTCCGGCATGCCCCCCGGAAATTTGTTTGATTCTGAGATGCAATTTCCTGCATTCTGAGGGTCAAAATGACAATAAATTGACAAAAAATGAGAATAATTGACAAAATTTTTTTTTCGATCACAGTGAAACTCATAGTTTGATACAAACTGGTCGTAGTGGTGCAAAAGGAATAGAAATTCGTATAAAATACGGATAAATCGTAGTGGTTGGCATCTCTGCCCTACGCCATCAGTATGTAGTTCAGTGCTGCCATCGACTGATAAACCCACGAGGCGGTAGCAGCGGCAGTTCTGCGTCATGTAAAGCAGCTTTTTCTCAAGTCTACGCACGCACTCGTGCAATGCTACGCCTCACGTGCACGACGCACCTTTCTTCAGCCTTTCTCCCATCGGAGGGCCTCTCGTTTCTCCCCCGCATCACTCCCTTCCTTCCCCCCATCTCAGAGTGTTTTGTGTAGATGAGAAAGAAGCGAAGTGATCACCCTCCTCGCCGGGGATTAATTATTAATTATTACTATTAATAATAATAATAACTAATGATTAATTATTATTATTTATAATAATAAACAATAATAATAATAATAATATCCTCGCGTATCGCGTCACGTCCAGACGTCCTGCAGGTAGCGTCCTTCGTCCTGCATGCGCCGCACGTACGCGCGCGCCTCGTCCTCCGCGACCTCGCACGACCCCGCGTACGCCTCCGTCAGCGCCGCCATCACGCCGGCGGCCATGTTTGTCGCGTCGCCGCAGACGTAGACAGCGGCGCGGCGCTCGACGATCCAGCGCACGAGCTCGCGCGCGGACGCTCGGATGTTGTCCTGCACGTACTTGGCATGGCGCGTGGCTCCCTCCGGTGGGTCGCGGGAGAAGGAGACCGACAGATTGGTGAGGGTGCCTCTGTCGAGAAATCGTTCCATCTCCTCCCTGGAAACACAGGTATATACAGTGTATGTATATATATATATATATAGTAATAATACCTATATATATATCATACTATACGTATGCTACATACACCTGTATATATCAGGGGTTAATAATGACAATATTTGTCATTATTAACCATTGGTATATATGTACATACGTATATATGCGTGCGTGCGTGCGTGCATATATACATATATATATATACATATATATATATAGGTAGAGGTCTAGTACCCTCTCTATGTTGTATGTGCTTGAATGAGCGCACTTACACTTACACTTACAGCAGAAGTCTTTGTTTCGTAGCTCATTGTTATCGATATTGGCATTAAATTCACGCACAGCGCCTTCAATTTGACGTCGGGACTCGGAACGATGAAACGGAGGTCTACAATTTACAGTGTTCGGTTTAATAAACACACACGCACGCACGCACGCACGCACGCACGCACGCACACAGATTGTTTCCGTTAGCAGGAATCGATGCAGATTGGCGTCATACCTGTACAGATGATCCCTGTCACTGTGGCGACATCCGTAGAACAGCCAGGAGTCGGGCGTCGCCCTATCCGGCTTGCTAGTACGTAGCGCATCTCTAATGTTGCGAAAAACAAAAGATCATATCATTTATACAAATTGGCAGAAAACATAACCGAATAAAATATGATCACAGTAATGGCAAATAGAACAAAATTATGTGAATTAAAACACATCCTGCTCGCACTTACAAGTGTTGTAGAAAACCGATAAAGGGGGCGACACCAGTCCCTGGCCCAATCATGATAATTGGCACACACGGATCTCGCGGGAGGCGAAAATGCTGGCTTTGCCTCAGCATGACAGGAACCTGCAAATGAGGAAATATAAATAAAAATAAAAGCCACAGCAAAACAATACTAACACACACAATCAAGAGTAAATAAAAAAATGAAAAAAATTTATGGTGCTTCCCATATCATACAAACATAATTAAAGGGAGAGTTTACTCTAGGTTCTAGGGTTATTTTCAGCTAATTTAGGTTATAATTACACTACATAAAAAGTTTCATGGTTCAATCACCATTATAAATATTTTTTTTTAATGTTTTAAAACTAACGACTACAGTTTGATTACAACGACGGTGGCGCCACTCAAAGCGCAAAATCTGATAAGTTGCGCAAAACTACTTTCCAGCCAAGGGCTACAGACCGAGGGTGTTTCTTATTTATTCATTTAAAAGCAAAAGGATTGTAATATCTTATAAACGACATATAGTTTCAGTTATAATAGGGATAAATTTGCCCTAAAATGAATATCGTTCGGTTAAATATCATTTAGGTATAAATATAATTGCACTTTTGTGATTAGCCCTCAGTCTGTAACGTGCAAAATAAATGGTCAAATACGCAACCTTTTCGGGGTGGCACACGGTCGCGGGTGTCATGGCGCCGTTCAAATTTCGTAGCGTTAATGTGTAATTAATTTTAACAATTAAATTAGGTATCTGGTAACAAATACGTGTGGGTATAGACGATTTGTTATACAGTAAGTACAGTTGTATGCAGTAAAATCCTAGAGGCTACTGTCCCTTTAATACTACGCAAACAATCAACTATATTTTTGAATATGTTTCTAAGAAGAAAATCTTAACATCCATCATTTTGAGGTCCAAATGGACAGCAAGCACTTCACTGCATTCACCTTGTACGTTATATCATTGCTAAAATCCACCGTTTTACGAGCAAATTTTCCATCACTGAATTTCGAAATTGTCGCAGCATAAATAAAGCGATCTCCTTCACGCGCCATGCTTACCGTGACGCTATCGTTGAGGGTCAGGGACGCTAATCTCCGCGTCACGTCGGTCGTGTCGCGTGATCCCGCCGCCCGCAGCAGCTGCCCGGTGATCCACCCGGTGCAGACGCCTCGTCTCCCGATGCCGTCAAACCCCTCGTACTCCGACACGTTGTAGACAAAACGTACCCTGCTGGGATCCTTCAGAGGTGAGCTGAAACCCAGGAAGACAAATAACATATTATTTATTATATATTGTATGGTATTGTATCATCACATATATATTGTATATATCACATGTGATTTTGTATCTATTAACTGGACTGAAAGCCAAATCACATACTGTATTATATATTGTATCATATTGCATCGTATTGTATATATTATATGTGATTTTGCATCTATTAGCTGTGACCAGAAAGCCAAATCACATATACCAATTGTATTATACTGTCACATTATATCGTTATTTTTACATATAAGCAAAGGCCGAACCGAACTCAGTAGTTGATTCTATGCTATTAATTTAATACCACAGCAAAGGGAAAGTCTGCAGTATATATTACAAGCAGACTAGACTGAAGAGAGATGGAGCATTACCTTGTAACAGAGTAAAACCTTGCTGCCAGTCTTGGCAACTGCTCTGAAATAGTCAATCCACATGCACAGCATGAATCACCGATGCAGCCACTTGCCCCCACCTGCTCACTCATATCGACTGTTTACCAGGTTTTTACCTCGCAGTGTAGATATGTGACAGTGAGAGTTACGCGCCAAAATTTATCAAAAATTTAACACGAATGCAAAATAAACCAAAGTAAACCGATCAAAAATGTTCCCCGCCACCCATTTCCAAAAAAAAACATACATCTGCATACGAAGTATTCGATTTAACACGAATGCAAAATAAACCAAAGTAAACCGATCAAAAATGTTCCCCGCCACCCATTTCCAAAAAAAAACATACATCTGCATACGAAGTATTCGATTTAACACGAATGCAAAA